AATATCACAGTTATGGGGTTGAAGTACAAATTACTATGTTTCCAAAACTCTAGCAATTTCGAAAACGGGCCGGGCTAGATCCGGGCCTCAAACCCCCGGCCCGGTTTATTTTAATTAGTAAAGTGTACCATAGGGTTTTTCTTTCACTCCTATGTGACATACTCCCCCACCACTGTTCACTTCACGACGCCCGCCCGTTCTCCTTCGTCCTGCTCGCGCCGACGAGAGTTATCCGCACTAAATATTGAAATGGCTTTTACTAGAGGCATGAAGCGACCCATTGAACTTCTATACAAAAGATTGAGCAGTCCAGTCAAGTGTGGCCATGCTTATACTACTTATACAACGAGCAAGGGAGTGTCTAGGTTTTCGGAAACTAATAATGCTTCTGGTTTCTTAAATCATTCTCGTTCAATCAATAATTCCGGGATTTGCTTCATTCGGACATACGCTTCTCAAGTCTCTGCATCCGAACAAATGAATCTCATTAAACAGTTGAGGGAGAGGACAAGTGCGCCGATCAAGGAAGTCAAGTCTGCTCTTGTTGCTTGCCACTGGGATATTGGTGTGCCCGTCGTCAATTTTCCTTGAAGAATCTCTGCATTTTGAAAAGTTTGTGCTTGCCTGCAATTATTTATACTAATGGGGATTTTTAATGGATGCCTACTGCAGGGGCTGCACAGAAGGAGTTGAGAAAAAGAGGAGTTGTTCTTGCATCAAAGAAGTCTTCTCGAACTGCGGCCGAGGGATTGCTTGCAGTAGCTCAGGATGAAGAGAAGGCTGTGGTAATTGAACTCAACTGCGAAACGGACTTTGTTGCCAGGAATGACATTTTCCAATGTTTGGTGAGTATGAGAATTAGTTTCTTCCTCTGCTCAATTGACTATCATTCTCCATCTATTCGGCACTTCCTTAGGCCTGGTTTTACTTTGTTGTTGTATGTCTTCAATAGCAGCTTAAGCTTTTGTTTGAGTAGCCATTTTCATAAACCGAGATTCAATAATCATACCCTTGTGGATTTTTATTTTTCATTTTTAATTCTAATAGTCAGCATTCTTTCTCGATCATCACTGATATAACTTTTTTGTGCACACTGCAAATGCTGTAGGCCTTATCTCTGGCAAAGTCTGCTTTGCAGCGTGAAGTTTCTGCGGCTGCTGCCTATGCTAAAGTACCTATTTCAGTTGAACCTCAGCGCCTGTGGGTGAGTAACTTTTTCTTATTCTTGCCTGAAAAAGATTGTTTATTTTTAGTTAATAATATATACTATTGTTTTTCAATTTAATGTCTATTGTATTGTAATAATTGTCTTTGAGTCGGCCACCATCATGATTTTACCAAGGTTTCACGAGTAGTTCTCAATCTCATGAACTTGTGAATTTTGTGCTTCGATCTAATGGAGATGTTCTTTTGGCCTCCTTACAGTTGATTTTGATAGTTCCCTTTACATTTTTTTTTTTTTCAGGATTTCAAGGTGAATTTCGACCATCCTAAGCTAACTGGAGAGAGAACTGTACAGAATGCAATTGTAGAGGTTGCTGCAATGATGGGAGAGAACGTCACACTTAGAGGAGCGATTACAATACCCGCGCCTTCACATGGTGTTTTGTCTACATATCTCCATACTTGTCCCCAACCAGGTAACCAAGAACTTAAAAAATTTCATTGCAAGGGCTGTTTTACGTTTTTACATGCTTGTTCTCTTACACATGAGGAACTTGTAATGTGCCATTTTATGGATATGAGATAATGTTGAATTTTTTTATTGTGGTTCATGCTTTCAATTCTAAATCCAGGTATAGGGCGTCATGCTGGGCTTTTATCACTTGAGGTGGAGGATAAGAATGCTTCCCTGGATGCAGTCCAGCGTGTTGGATCAGAAATTGCTATGCACTTAGTTGCTGCCAAACCATTGTTCCTAAGCAAGGAAGATGTTTTTCCTCATGCTTTAGAAAATGAACGTGATATTCTCCGATCTCAGGTACTAGTTGGATACTTTTGGTGGTTTGATGACAGTTCATGAATAGACTTGCATTATGTAAATGTTTAAATCTGCAGAAGTGTTTTGGTGTAAATAATCTGAAAGGAAGAAGATATTGAGAATGAGAACAATTCCTCTGTAAATTCTAAAAGCAAGCAAGTGTAACAAGAAGCAGGATAAAGTTATCCAAACTAGATTGATTACAAAATTATGTGTGCCCTTATAACATTAAGTTGTTATGTGTAATAGATAACCAAGTCTTGAATTAAGAAAGTTAGTAATAGAGCTAATCCAAGATCATAAAATCATGATAATTATTTTTTTCGAGTAACTGCTTATATTCTCCTTATTCTTTCTTGTTATTTGTCTCTACAATGAGCATCACTCTTGTTTGAGGGAACTTGATGCATTCTTATATGTTTCGAAAAATGGTACTGACTGAACTTTGACGTGAATTGTTGGATTTTAGACGTACAAACCCAGTGTACGCGCAACGGAGTTTTAAAATTTTCTTACCAACAGCAAAGATCCGCTATAGCTATTCGATATGATCCTATATCGCGTGAATTATCAACAAAAACTTACAATTGTTCGCCTATGTCCTCGACTATGGTATCCACGCAATCCAGTTTTCCGATCTTCCGTTGAAGAAGCTAGGAATCCTCAATCCAGAAAGCTAGAGAGTTTTTATTTTAAGATGAATCTTCTTCTCTTTCTTTCATCTAATGATCGTTGATTGAAGACTATGAAGAGATAATGAGATAATTTTAATTAGGTCAAATCTAATCATATGGGCTTTAGGAGACCCTATAGACCAATATGTAACTGGACCTAATCCAATTATTAATTTAATTAAGTATAATTCAATTTAACTTAATTAATTATTTTCTATCAAATAAAAAATTATCTCATTACTAATTAAGTATAATCCAGTTTAACTTAATTAAATATTTTCTATCAAATAGAAAATAATCTCATTACTCATAAATAAATATTTCAATCTAATTGAATATTTAACACCATCGATTCAGTCTTAGTCGGAAAACTGATTGCATATTGTGTGACCCTATAGGCCTTCAAATATTGACATAAATCTAATTTATGATCCCTTGTGAAACTCCTAGATTGCGTCGAATGACGAACTCAAAATATGAAGTATGCTTACATGGACAAAGCAAACAAACCTAGACAATAGTGATACGATCCCTTCATTCACGAACCACTCGATTAAGCTTAAGACTTGAACGTGTGTCTATCCGAACAGCTTAATCATTTTATCTCATCTTACTGCTTAATTTTATCAATTATATTTGAACACTGTTCTAAATATAATCACATGCATTGACCAATGACTATCAACCCAATATAGAGAAAACGAGTGTTCTCTCGAAATTATATTCGAGGAATGAATCCTATCTTGGCTCAACTACCAATTATATCGCGATCAACCAACACAAGCCCGTGTCTACCCATAAGTGCGTAAGCGTTGGACTAGGTCTAAGTAAATAACATGAATTGCATATTGACCTCAAGTCAGAGGACTATTACACCATTCCACACATTGATATTCTCATAAACACATAAACAAATAGTTTATTGGTAGGGTATACCAATACTCTCCAAAGTATCCACGTGTTCATCACGAATAACAATTATTCATAGCAGACCACATGTCAATCTATCGCGTATCATTAATATCCATTTCTTAATGATCATCGATTGAGGCGATTTGAGAGTTATACTTTATTAATTAACATCTCACTCTGTTAATGACAGTATCAAATCAAGGAGCAATTAACTAATAAATTGCAAACAACCAAACAATTATTTAATTAATTACATTACCATAATTATAATCCAATATTATTATTAATGTGATCATGTATATATGTCATCAAAAAGACTGTCTCTAGGACACATATACCAACATGAATAACCATACAATTGTGTTGGTGCACTATTTATGGTTTAGTGAAACTGGCAGATTCAAGTTTTAAATATGGCATTTTTGACAATTTCTCTAGCCACAGAGCAGTAGTTGATAGAGTTGATGGTGAATTAAAGGAAGAAACTGTGAAAATGATTTAAAGGAACAAAAAGTAAACAAATTAACTGCAGGCGAGGCTGCCAAAGTGCTAATGCTGATCAGAATTTCTCTTGCCTAAGCCAGGCTTTGCTATTCTTCTTCCATGTCTTTAGAGACTGAACCCTACTACTTCAATAGCTACTGATTAGGGTTCCAAAGCAAAAGCCATGTGCATTACTTTGTTCAAACCCGAATTAAATAACTTGCTTAAGATGCGGAATCCAGAATTATAGATGCTTAAACATCAATCCTCATTATAATGCTACTTCCTCTTCCATTTTTGGGACCTTTCGCGAAAATGACAATAGACATTGTTGATATCTTATATGCATATCTATGCTTAGTCACTAAAATTCATTTACATTTTACTCCATTAAACAATATTGTCCAAGAAAATCCTATGCTTTTCTCGGGGGGTGAGTAGCTATAGTTGATCTATCAGGATACAATTTTTTTTTTTCCTTTTGTTCAGTTTATCCTTTAATTCCTTTTTCTTTTTCAAACATCTTGGTTGAATTTTCACATATCTATGCTGCAACTATAACTGCTTTGTTCCATTATTATCAGGCAGAAAGTACAGGGAAGTCTCAGATGGCCATAGATAAGATGGTTGAAGGTCGTCTAAGAAAGTATTACGAGGAAGTTGTTCTTCTGGAGCAAAAGTTTGTCGTAGATGACACAATTAACATTAAGGTCTACTATTCCAGTTGTCTTTTTATTGGTTCACTTTTCTCGCTTTTGGTTTTATCTCTGCCATTATTTTGTTATCTGAAAAGCCATATACTTATGAAGAGCATCTGTCGACATCACATTTCTCTCACGTTAATCTACACATTCTCTGATAATATTCTTTAAATTCAAGACGATTAGTGTTTTTTTTTTATGTCAAACTGCAAATAACAGTTGGTAGTTCAGACAGAATGAGAATTTTTTAACTGTGTCCCATAAGTACCTATTGTTCTAGATTCAGATTAGTTTTGTGGTAGCCCTGTGCAGTTTTTTATGAGCGATTTTCAGTGACATTTGATACCCATTATTGCAGACACTATTGAATAACTTGTCCAAGGAAGTTGGATCCACCGTGAAAATCAATACCTTTCTTAGATTAGAAGTTGGAGAAGGCCTTGAAAGGTAAAAACTTATTTACATTTGCAGTTTTTCTTTAACTTTATTAACCTAAAATCCTGAAGCATTCCTGGTTTATTAAATTAGTTTTGCCACTTAGGATATTCCCATTAATCTTTTAACGGATCTTATAAACTATCGCATGCTTTTGGTTCTCGTGCAATTTAATTTTTAGTTGCCTTTTTTTTCTCCCAAGGCTTGAAGCAGCTAGTGGAACAGATCCTGCATCTCAGGTTGCTTAAGGACTCCAGCAACTCTTTACCTGACAAGATCAATATTTTATTGGACTTTTGAGACTACAAACTTTTGTGATTTTTTGGTTATAAAACTTTACCATGTTGCAAATTGCTCCAGATCATAATCAGAACTAGAATAATTGGTTTTGTTGCATCTATATAGCCACGAAGTTCTCGCATAAATTAGTTGAAGATAACTAGAGTATTTTTGTACCCAGTTATGGTCCATGGATGATATGCAAAAAAAAGGCTTTGCTGATAAATCGAGGTTTCGCTGCCATTATATGGAGTGAAGAAGCCTTGATACTCTTTCTTAGCAGCCGGTGAATGATTTTTACGACTTGCTTGCTGTGTATTAATTTCATGCGCTGCCTGCATTTTGTTCAAAGATGAAGTTCAACATCTCATCTCAAAAATTCCAAAAGCAAGAGCGCATAAATTTTAACTACTCTCTCTGTTATTATACTTATAATAATAAAAGGAAGAAGGAAGCATCTTCACAATTTTGGTTAAGATTTGAAGTGGACCCAATCGCACTTAAATATGTATTTGACCAATCAAATCAACTTCAACAATTATTAATTTAATAAATTTTTAACCTCAATTTATTTCTCCTCAATGAATATAATTATAATACATTAATAAACTATTATTAATTACACAGCTTTTAAAACTATCCATTCAATTACATGTTTTTAATTAACAATCAAATTTAATCACATATACGTACTTTTACATAACATCAAGTTTAATCACTATATTCTAACTCATCTACAAACAAAAATTTAAAATTCAATCTAAAACTTTTTTTTTAATTAACTCATTTTATCCAATAAATTCAAATTTAAGCCAATATACTTATATGCTCAGTCGCACTTTCTCAATCAAAAGATGTCACTATTTAACTAATGAAACAATTAATAGACAAATATAAAGGGAGTTTTGAATTAAAATCCCTAAAACTACTTTTATTTTTGTGTTCAATCCCCACTTAAAATTTTTTAAAATCTTTCTACTTCGCTCCCCAACAATTTAGAAAATGCAGAAAATGAATGAATACTCAACATTACGTGACCATCACAACACTTTACCAACTTTTTAACACATTGTTTTTCTATCGACATGTGTCTAACGATTAGACCACTATTTTCCAATTCATTTCTCACAAATATCACAACAGATTCTGAATTTTGACCAAATCACACAGTTTTATTCAATTTCACCATAATACTGCACCAAAAACACACCTAAAGATCTCTGAAATACATGATGAACAAAGAAAACCACATGTCTTTGTTGCTTACACAAATCATCTACTTCAGAGGCACTCATAGAATCTAAAAGGGGCGACCAATCGGAATTTTACATCCTAATGAAAGACAAACATGGCACACTTCCGGAACTTTCTGAAAGACAACATGGCAAACTTACGGAACTTTCCGATGTTTGGTGCCCGCAACTGACCTAAAAGTACTTATTTTCTTCTACTCAAAGCTTGATTTCTCTACCGAACACCCAGCTTACAGGCACAGGTGGTACTTGCTTTGCCCTCGCATGAGCTCTCTCCTCCAACTTTCTGATTCTAGCCGGCAAGTTACACACATAGTCTTGCGCTTTACGCCCCTCAGCTGAAAGACCTGTTTGTTTTGTCCAGCAATTAAGCTGAAAATATTAGCATTTCTGCTCAATTGTTTGGTTTTTCTATTACTAATAATGGAAGGATGCTTTAGAAACCAATTTGTTTATTTGTGTTTGTTAGTGGAGCATGAATTCTTGATGCGAACATCAATTTCCAGTATTCACTCTTTGAGGATTATCACATTGAACCAAACCACCCCTAATAAACCATTCAGATTATCTAACAGCATCTGTATAGTTTCCACTATATGAGCAATCTGTCATTTTATCATGTGTAGACATACAAATTGCGAGTTTGGTGTAATTTAACTCTTGAATATGGCTTGAAAATATGAATGTGCAGCTTCTTTTTTTTTTTTTTTTTTTTTTTCCTCGAGAATTATGGTGCCTTTTTTTCGTAATTCTGCAAGATAATGTATAGAAAAACCCTATAAAAATAAAAATGAAATAAAATAAGCCAATAATAGTAAATCTATACTGACCCATCAACTTGTCAACCTCCCATCTGGCCACCAGGAATTCCAAGATATCGGCATAGTCCTTGGCCGTGTAGACTCCAAGCCGCTGGGCCACAGCCGAAAAATGCTCGAACAAGTTATCATCCTTGCCATCGTACATCAGGTGAGCTGGCATTGTGATTTTCTTCCTCATCATATCCTCGAGGCACAAAACCGTGCCATCAGGGTCGATTTCAAAGAGTTTCTCGATTATCTTGGTGTAGGCCGTTTCATGTCGTTTCTCATCCGAGGCTATGGTCCCACATATCTGTGCCAGTTTGAGGTCCCCGAGTTCTTTAGCCAGGCGGGCTGTGTTTCCATGAGAAATGAAAGTTGCCCTTTCCTGAAATGAAGTGTAGATGAATCCAAGGTACGGGTTGTTCTCTGTCCGAGGATCCTGTTATGTTAGTTAATTAAAAAAGAAAAATGAAATTTGAGTTATATATATTCCAAATCCAAACATGATGAATTATGTATGGAACACCATTGATTAGAAATGCAATATCTCAACTATGGACTTAAAGTACAAAACCGTGTTTTTCAGAATAACATAATAGGACTCATCCTCAAAACAAGATTCAGATTATCTTACCAAGCTGTATTTTTTAGTTTTATTATCTAACCCAATTCATCAAACACCTGCATTTAATTTCCAAATATTTTCAGATTTTTTTTAAGCAGCAGCATTCATTCAGCGAAAAAGACTTCAGCAAAGAAAGCCACTTCCAAATTCTGTTTAGTTCCTTCCCAAGAATACTAACTAGACCCAATGTAAGAAGAATAAGGAGAAGTAACTAAATGCGAAAAAGATTAAGAAACTAATCGTACCATCCCCGAACCGATCAAATATTGAATTGTCTTCTCGATTTGCTTCATATCAACACGTCCCGAAAGATAAAGATACTTATTGAGAAGATCACCGTGCCTATTCTCCTCGGCAGTCCACGCCCTCGTCCAAATAGCCCATGGGGTTGAGCTGGCCCCCGTCTCGTCTCGAACACTATCCAAAGTGTTTATCATTGTCTGATATGTAGGGAGGGCCTCCTCAGTAATCATGTCCCCAACCAATACCACAAAATAATCATCCGGGATTTCCTTTGACCTCTCCCTCAGTTCTTTGACCTGATCGTAAAACCCGTCAGATGAAGAATCCGGGAGAAAGTCTGTGGGCTGCCAGCATTTCTCGACGGGCTTGAGGTGGATAAGGATGTTATTTTCGGCCCAGTTTTGGAGGGAGTCAAAGATCTCGCGTTTTTCGGGAGGCATTGAGTGGGTTACTTGTTCGTGGACCTCACGAGGAGGAGTGAACGGCTTTTTGGCTTTACCAACATCTCTGATCAAAACAAAGAAAATGCAGTATGTTGAGTTTATGAAATAGAAGAGACTAATAAGTTAATAAAATTATACTCTCATCCTCTTTACATTCCGGATAATAAGGGATTAATGTTGATAGGAAATATAATTCAGGGAAACTTTTGACTAGATCAGATACTTGTATCTTAAAGTAAAGATATAAGTAAAGAATCTAACAAGTGGCTACAGAAAAATGAGAAGCTACACCAACTATCTCAACTTTCTGCAGAAAATAAAGTTAACATTATTGGTGAAACATGTTGAGAAATTCTTTTAGGGAACGATTAAGAAACAAAATTCCAACGCAGCCACTCTAAATGTCCTCTGTACTTGAGCTTGGAAAAGAAACATAAAAACTTCATTACCTTACATTAGGAAGAAAAGTTCCACGTGATTTGAGATGAGGAACATGACACACACACACACACACACACACACACACACACACACAAAATTAGAGTATAGAAATAAGTTGTTGGAAAAAAAAAATAAAAAAAAATGTGACCCTTTTAAAATTATTTTGCATCTTCCCACTTGCCACTACTGAGACACCGCAAAGAACTAAGCTTAATGCCACCTCAAGAAAAACAGGAAGATCCACCAGTGGAGAAAATAATCAAAAAGGGGGGAATGAAAAAGACAAACAATATAAATAGAATGCTAAACACAAGGAAACAAACACTACTACTATATGTATTAATTAATATATATAAAGTAATCAGTTGAAAGAATGTCGAAATTCTGCATGCATTAATCTAGTTAAATCAAATGTACATAGGCTCCAACAGAATTGAGGTGGTTTCAAGAGAGAACAATGGCTTGAGACAAAACAAATTGTTTAGCATATAAAGGCAGTTAGCAAACAACAGCAAAAATCTAATCTTGATGTGTCATTTTGTTTTCTAACAATTGTTCAAGTGTGAATTTCTTTCCTTGAAAAATAGAGAGACCATCACTTTCAAAAGAAACTAACTTTCAATAATACTTGATCATGACCATAAATAATATCACAACCCATAAAAGAAAAAAAAAAAATACATAAACAGATTATTTTCGTCCCTAAAGACTAAAGTAATGAAATGAAACTGACACTGAGGGAAGAGAGTGAAGAGTTGAAGCCATTGAAACTCTGTGAGATCTGAGGTCGGAGGCAGGAAAAGGTGGGATCTTGTTGTGATGAAGGAAGCTCATTTTGAGTGCCATTTTTCTCTATCGAACAGAGATGCTTATAATAAAACGGAAATGGCAACGGGAATGAGGACTGTAGAAGCGAAGCAGCACAAGCGCCCACTTATATACAGATACAGGCAGCGGTAGCGGTAGCGGTAGCGGTGCTGTGCTGTGCTTCTCAAAATAAATATAAATAATAATAAGAAAAAAAGGGCAAACAAAAACAAGTTTGAGAAAACGTCTGGCTTTCGAACTCAATGAATGCCCACAGTTTTGATTGTTTGTGTCCCGAAAACAGGAGGTGCTTTTTTTCTTTTTGAAAGTAACTAATCAGCAATCACAAATGCGGCCATTTGACACGTTCTTGAAGGGGCGATGGTTTCTATGATGAGCTTGCTTGGTATCAAAATATATGGGCCTCTCAGCAAGGTACAACATAGTACTGATGCAATGGGCCCATTCTCTTAGCATTTTTCTGATTTTTTTTTTTTTTTCTTGCTAAAACTTTATTGCGATAAATTAGTATTTCATTCTATGATTCTATCTTCTCTCCTAAAATATTGTATAATGTAGTGACGGGTTTGTTGTAAATAGGAACATTCCCGAATACACATTTCAATTTAATTACACATAAATATAATCCCCTAGTATGTTAGTTACATTGTCCTAAATAGGGTTGTAAACGAAATCGCATCAAAGCGAATACTCAGAGATTCGATTCGATTCGTTTAAAATATTCGAAGATTCGATTCGTGATTCGATTCGATAACGAATTCATTTTTTGATTCGTATTCGACTCGTTTAGAATATTCGAACATATTCGATTTGATTCGAAATTTGTTTTAAGAAAAATATTATAATTAAAAAATATTATAATTACGAAAACAAATTTTATTTTTCATATATTTTTAGAAAATTTTGTTAATTTATGATGTTTTTATTTTTATGTCATAAAAATATTAGGAATATGACAATATATATATATATATACATATAGTTATATACATATATTATAAACAAAATGTATATTATATATAATTTGTATAAAAATATTATAATTAAAAAATATTATAATTAAAAAATATTATAATTACAAAAATAAATTTTATTTTTCTTATATTTGTAGAAAAATTTGTTAATTTATGATGTTTTTACTTTTTATGTTATAAAAATATTAGGAATATAACGATATATATATACATATATTATAAACAAAATATATATTATATATTGTAAAATTTATATAATTATTGTTAACGAATCGAATATTCGAATTTCGAATCGAATATCTACACATTCGGATTCGAATTCGTTATAATTTTGAATCTAAAACATCATTCGAATTCGAATTCGAATTCGAATTCGAATATTTCACGAATATCGAATTCGAATCACGAATCGAATAAAAAATGTTTGATTTGTTTACAACCCTAGTCCTAATAACTATTTATAATTTGTTATTATTATGAGCTGTAAAATATAGAATAATGTTAGTTGTACCCTTTGGTGTACCACTTGGTTTACATCCAAGTAGTACATGTACCCATTAATTATAGAATTAAATTGCATAAAAAAATCAATTAAAATATGGAGTAATAATTCAATTTTGTCACTACCGCAGCTTTAATACCATACACAGCTTTAATTGGCAACCCAATTCATAAAAGGAAATAACTAAATAAATATGTATCCCCGGACCAAAGTCAATGTTAAGGCATGCAGCATATGGTCATATAGTATATGGTAAAAACCATAACTATCCCTGGATTATTGCACAAATGCAGGAAAAAAAAAAAAAATTCATCGAACAAAATTTCAACTATAAAACCAGCAACAACATTATGATTTATGCAATCAATCAATCACTAGTTATACACATGCAGTAGTAATCTCTCACTGATGTTCTTCCATAAGCAGCTTTGCTGGAACAACACTGGGTTCATTTTTCTGTGAAGACTGTGGAGATGTTCCACATAAGCTTTCAGTACTATTTCCAGACGGGGGCAGACATCTTTTCAAGAATGACGCTATTGTCCTCGTCTTTCGGAAACTTCTTTCTGCAAATACACCAAGGAAAAAGAATCTTAGTTTTGAAATTTTGTAATCAATCCTATTACTTGACATAAATTCACGGAGCGATAATCAACTCATACCTGGTGATACAGATAGGCCATACTTGCTCAGAATTTCTTTCTTAACCTGAATGAGAAAGCATTATTAGATCAGAAAATTACACAACTCTAAGGCATTTAAGTAAATAAGCTAATAGAAGGGTGCAATAACAAACAATTTAACACAATAAGAGTAGTGATATATAATATCCAATTAAAGAAAAATCCAACACTCAAATCTACTCTACAAACCATACATATCATATTCACCACTGGTTATGCAACTCATTTAACAAACATAATAGGTATGTAAGAGAAACGGTGGTAATGGTTCAAGATATTCCACACCCATTCAAATTCATATGGCTAATTAACTGTTTGCTCATTGCCCAATCAATTTCCATAACACATAATCCATATCAATGTACTAGGGAACCCCCAAACACAATTAAGCAAGGATATACATGGAAATGGACAATTATTAAGTATAAACAAATAATGTGGTGAGCAGCCTATCTTTGGTTAATTTTGGCCGACTGATTGCCAAGAATAATGCCTACCTAGTAATCTTTATTATTGCAAATGCATCTTCACTCAAGTGTTACTATTTCACAAATTGTACCCTGCTGGGGCAATATGTAAAACAATATACAAGCACAATAAGGTATTTTTAATAGTATACGGTAAATGACGATTTTTAATAGTTATTTCCGGCTACTTCACCTTTAAATCTTTTAGAGAAAGTAAGCTTACTAACCTGCCAACGGTTATCAGAGAACTCCGAAATTTCCCGCAATTTACTCTTTAGAAGGGATTTTGGGAGAGCTGGAAACTT